TCATCTCTGTCGTTTGTTCGGATTTGATTCTACAAGGGTTCCGGTGGTTTTGCGTTGAAAGATGGCAGCTTTGAAAGGTTACGGCTTGATCTCCAGTGACTCTGCTCTCCATTTCCCTCGCCCACATCGATTCGAGGGCTACAAGAGGTTTTTCACTCTCTCTGTTTTATAATCCATGCTCATATCTGTAACTCTTTTGGAGTTTTATCTTTGGACTAATCTTATTGGGATTATGATTTCTTGAATTGGGTTTGTTTCAAAGTAGTCATTTTTTTCAATTTCTGGAAAACAAAACGATCTATAGTTGTATTTGTAATTGTTGATCAATTAGCTGGATTAATGCTTTAGATGTTTAGAGGAATTGGTTTTTTTTTTTGTGAGATTTTGAGTTTATTATCGGACATTATAACTTGAAGCTATCTTGTCTAAATTGTGAATATGCTCTGCTTTATTTGCTCATCACACAGAAGGAATGCTAAATGGGTCTCTCCAAAAGCAGCTGTTGTACCAAACTTCCATCTCCCTATGCGCAGTCTCGAGGATAAAAACAGGTCGAATTCGAGTTTTATTTTCTCGTAGATTCTTTTCCTTTTGATGTTCACTAGTGTTTTTGTTCATGCTACAACTTTCTCTTGTTAACGGTTGCAGGACAAACACAGATGACATAAGGTCCCTTAGAGTAATCACTGCCATTAAAACACCGTATCTACCTGATGGAAGATTCGACCTTGAAGCATACGATGACTTAGTCAACACGCAGATAGAAAACGGCGCTGAAGGTGTGATTGTTGGTGGTACAACTGGTGAAGGCCAATTGATGAGCTGGGATGAACACATAATGCTAATAGGCCATACTGTTAACTGTTTTGGTGGAAGAATCAAAGTCATTGGAAACACTGGAAGTAACTCGACTAGGGAAGCTATACATGCAACTGAGCAAGGATTCGCTGTGGGAATGCACGCGGCTCTGCACATAAACCCTTACTATGGGAAAACGTCCATCGAAGGCATGACTGCGCATTTTCAAACTGTTCTTCATATGGGACCGACGATTATATACAATGTGCCTGGTCGAACGAGTCAAGATATACCTCCTTCGGTTATCCTTAAACTCTCTCAGAACCCTAATATGGCTGGGGTGAAGGAATGCGTGGGTAATAACCGAGTTGAAGAGTATACTGAGAAGGGAATTGTTGTGTGGAGTGGAAATGATGATCAGTGCCATGATTCTAGATGGGATCACGGGGCTACTGGAGTTATATCGGTTACGAGCAATTTAGTCCCGGGTTTGATGAAGAAGTTAATGTTTGAAGGTAGAAACTCGGCTTTGAACTCAAAACTTCTGCCTTTAATTGATTGGCTATTCCAAGAACCGAATCCGATCGGCGTTAACACTGCTTTGGCTCAGTTAGGAGTTGCGAGGCCGGTTTTTCGGTTACCTTATGTGCCACTGCCTGTGTCCAAAAGGATTGAGTTCGTTAAACTGGTGAAGGAAATCGGAAGGGAGCATTTTGTAGGAGAGAGAGATGTTCAGGTGCTTGATGATGACGACTTTATTTTAATCGGTAGATACTAGAATGTCTTCTAGGTTACTTGCTTCTGTTTATATTTCTCTTTGATGGTTACTTAGCTGATGAGAAACTCACGGATCGATCATAGAGTTGTTGTACTGGTTTGCCATGTTTGGTCTGTTGATTTTGTGATGAATCTTATGGTTTTTGCTTACGCTCTCTGGATAGTTAGTTGTCTTTTGTCTTAGTCCTTAAAGTTTAAAGAAGACTCGTGACAAGAACGGTGAAGCATGTTTGGTTCTGTTATATGAAACGTCTTATTTTAGAACCCAACAAGAGAATAAGATTCAAGAAGATTACTAAAGGAAAGAGGTAGAGGAAGAGGTGGAAACAGGGGAGAGTTTTGAATGAAGCAGAGAGAAGAGAGCTTTGTTTTCTTGTTGGAGAAGAAGAGCTTTCTTCTTTAGAGCCTCGTTTTCTCGTATGATGCTTTGATTCTCTACGAAAAGCTTCAAGTTTCTCATCTTCATCTCCTTCTCTTCCCTCAATAATCTTCTCCTCCTGGATCGAAAGAAAGCAAAAAACAGAGTAGAGCTTTATAGTTCAGAAACACTAAAAACAGAGTCAATGTTCTGAAAATATATTGAAAGATGACCTGGAGAGATTAAGGTTACGAAGATGGGTTTGTTGTGTCTTGGATTTACGTTTGTTATTGTACGAGGCTGATCTCATCGTGGGTGTGTTTGTGTCTGGGAGTGGCTCTGAAGATCTCAGACACATCTTCTTATGGTTTTATTCCGCACAAGAACTTGAGTAAACATAATGGACGTGTTATCTTTATATAGATGATAGATAGAGAGCTCTCGTGTTTTCTCAAGGGAGAGAGATATAGTTGTAGAGAGAGAGAAGAAGGCTTTTGAAGGTAATGATGGCATAAGGAAACTCATGATTACAGAGGGACCAGACAATGCATGGGTTC